TTTCAGGAATACTGCTCCAGTTTTAGGTGTGGCATGTGGTATGGTAGCTGTGGCATTAATTGGACTGGGAAAGGATAGAGACTGTCAAAATTATTACCTGCTGGGATACACTTCGTCTTCTATTCTGAAGGATTGCATTAGCGAAGCACAAACTGAATGACTCAGCTGCCTGTTAGACGGTTGACAGGCTTTCAGCTAAGTCACAGTAACAGACAGTCAAAAACATAATCCACAACCGGCAGCAACACTTTGACAACTTATACCTGCTCCTTCCTCTCCATCCTCCTCCTCCTCCTCTGTCACCTGCAAGATCAACTCTCTACCTCTCCGCCTCTCCGTCTCCACCCTCGCCTCCCTTTCTGCTCCATTATAATTGCTTACACTTAGCAGCTGAGCCTCTGAATCCTGAGGAGCGTCAGAAATAAAGAGGGGGCGGCACATACAAAAAGAATTTAAATATATAAATGCACCCATCTCTGGTGGAAATTGACTGGCACCGGTGTTTAAAATAATAAGATGCAGCTGTTGATAGTAGCGACTGTCTCCAGGTTTACTTCCCCGTGGCCCCTGTGGCAGCAGAGGAGCCGTGATGAAGGCAGACAGCTGACAGGTGCTCCAGGATGATGCCGCCATCAGGTGCATCTGCTAAACTTAACTCGGAGACAGGAGAGGAGAGACGAGAGAGGGAGGCGAAGAGAGCGAAAAGAAAAAGATGCTCAACGTCTGAGCGGGAGTGGGGGGGAGAAGGAGAAGGAGAAGGTGGAGAGGAGTGGCCAGAGAAATATATATGAGAGATAAGAGGGTTAAAGCAGAAAAAGGAAGGTGGGGGAGAGAGGGAATAAATGTGTGCGGTGTGTTTGATTTTATACGCCTTGAAACTTCATGCCAATCCTCTCCTGTAAAGAAATTCACAGGGTGTCTTTGAACCTGTAAGCTTGACAGGATAGGTGCCTCTCCCTCTAGACTGACACTCTGAAGGGCTAACAAGTTTGCCAGGCAGGTCAGGAGAAAGAGAGGAAAGGTGGCGAGAAGGGTAATAAGTGGAAATAATGAGCAGGAGCAGAATATGACGGAGAGAAAATACAAAGAAAGAAGAGAGAAGTGGAATAAAAGCAGTTGCGAGGGTAAATAGGCAGCTTGTCAGGGAGTGGGTTTGTGTACTGTTTCCATATGCTCATATATCCCTGCATGCATCAGCACTTTGCAGCGACACCCCCCCAACTCCTGTGTGTGTATGAACGCAGTCTGAATACACAGGAATAATGGATTCACTCTGACAGTGGCGGCGCTGACTGGGTTTCTGACTTTAATAAAAAAAAAAGTGCAGTGGGCACAAGTCAGAAGCTGAGGCAGGAATTTGAACCCCCTTGAACCCTTCTGCACTTAGGGGGGGAGGAAGGAAAGAAGGACCCCCTCCTCCTCATCAAACTCAAGGATCAGGCGATGAAGTGCTCACTCGTATCACGACTCTGCTCTGGGCCGAGCAAAAGGAGACAGGGGAGTGTAACCAAGAAGTTCTCTTTTTTCCCTTTCTCCTGTGTGTAGCTTTCTTTCAAAACACACACACACACACATATACACACACACACACACTGACAGCCCAGCGCATCACAGGTAGCCCAACTGAGTGGCTGGGAGCGCTGTCACCAATTTGTTCCTAGCCATGGGGGACATGCAGGGGATGGAGAGGCGATGGCAGCTCCCTGTCCTCATCATGGCTAATGAGGCCCAGGCGCTTCTCCTGCTTTCTCTGAGTGTGTGCATGAATGTGTGTGCGCGCGTGTGCGTGTTAGTGAAAGATCAGTTTGTATCAGCTCGTGGCATGGTGCTGCCAAAGCTCCTACTCCTGAAAGCACCAGGGTTGAGATCTTGGCACAGACCACCACACTCTCTAAGTTCTCCTCATAAAATTCTCCTGGCTGAATTATTGACCAGGCCAAGAAACACACACACACACAGACACACACACACATGCACCCACATAGATACACACAAAGAGGTGATGAGGTCTTGTTCAAGGCAGCTACCATTCAATGCATCCCAGATCTTCAGGGACGTTGCAGCAGCTGAGGGCTGCTTGCTGTGCTGGCCGACCCATCAAACCTTCAGGGAAATAATGAACTCTTATTCAGTACGCAAGTGGTCAGACTTAGGGGTTTGCAATGATCCAATCCAATCCAATCCAATCCAGGTTTATTTATATAGCACATTTAAAAACGACAAAGCGCTGACCAAAGTGCTGTACAGTAAAATTAAAAACAAAATAAAAAGAACCAGACAATTAAAATGAACAATAAAACAAAGACACAGGAACACATTAAAAACAGGGAGACATAGACGGTTCAGTGAAAACATGATTAAAAGACCAAGTTCTCAGGAATTAAAAGCCAGGGAGTAAAAGTGCGATGACAAAGAAATAATATTTTAATACTTGGGGGACTTTGCAGATAACAATAATGGATGATATGTTGCATTTCACAAATATGATTAAAAAATGTGCTTGGAAAAGACTTGTTATGCACTAGCCATTCTTGCTAATCCAATGTAAATGATAAGTTTTTGATAAATTATGAAACGGTCTGAAATTATTAGTGATGCATCTCTACGGTGCACAACAGCAAATGAGACCATTAATGACAAGACTGGCAGTTTCTATAATGTTGCTTTAATGCCTGTAACTGATTTAAGGGGGCAGGTACACAGAAGAAACAGCCTTAGTTACTTTTCTCTACAGCAAATGAGTGATAATATGTGTGTGTTAAAAGACAACTAGAGGAGATTTTTGTCAAAATGAGATCAGTTTCACAAGAATGAGTGGATATCAGCAAAGTTTTGTCCACAGGGGGCGCCAAAGTCAACACAGACAAAATTCCTCACAGGAGCTTTAAAATAAGCAGCACAAGGACCAATAAAAACTATTAGAGAGCGTTTTAAAGTTATGGTACTTCTTAACACAAACAAGACATAAATCCAAGATACTTCTTCGCCAAATAACTCTACCAAAGTTTGCTGAGTGCGTTTTTGTTCTGCTGCTACCTGAGCTGCTTGGTTGTAGTTTTGCTTTTCATATTCTTCATGTTCTGTGCAGTGGTCTGAAGTAATCTGAAGGTGCTGAAACTAGTCAGTTGTTACGCTGTTTAAAACTGCAACCCCTCTCTGACCCTCTCTGCAGATTGACATCTTTGTGCAACACTCTTGCTGGAGCCAAAACACATGATGATCCATGTCTGACAATTAGATCCAACAAAGACTATTGAGAGTCTGCTGGTGTTTTTGTGTTTTTTCTCTCCTGGCGCTGTTTGTTCTCTCACTTTAACTTGAGTCATGAAGGCAGATACTCTAGTTTAGTTTCTTGTGATGTGCAAATGCTGCATGTGCTGTTGGTGCGTAAACGCAGTAGTTAGTCCTACGGGGCCTGATTGTATTTCAGTAGATGATGGAGGACTCTCAGGGTGTGCATGTTTGGTTTTGCATATCGTTATTGTCATTGTGCATATTGTTATAAAACAGTGAAGCCAATTTATACCTCACATCTCTCATTTAGGATGCACACTGCCAAGACTTGGTAAAATAAAACTGTCATAGGCAAGTATCTGAGGCAGAGGAATCATGAGAAAACTGTAAAGGATTTTATTTTTAGTGTAATTTAACAGAAAATTTACACAGACTTTTTGTTGTGTAAGATCTTTCAAATCTTAAATACAAGTGCCAACATTTCACCAAATCATTTCTGGAGGATGCCATGAGGAGTGATGTTCCCCCATGTGATATAATGTCTGTGTCTGACTTGAGGACATTAAAAGTACAAAGATATTCCATCATATGAGAGATGGGAACTGTCTGCACCAGCTGTACGTCGGCAGATCTCCTCAGTATTTATAGTTCAGGAGCTCCCCAGTGTGGTGAAGGGAGAGAAGTGAAGTTAAAGGAGGCTCCAGAAACAGCCTCTCAACTCATTTCACATACATGTTAGGGTTGATTACTGCTAATCTGTCTGCTGGGATGTCCTGAGGAAAAATGTGTAGTTTCGGATAAAACATGGGTTGAATTTAAAGTAGAGTACGAATAAATATTAAAATTCAGCCTCAGCAAAACCAATTCTACAACAAGAGCATTTGAAAACTTCTGGGGCAAACCACTTAAGTGCAATTGAAATTTAATGACTTAACCTAATGAGTGTCAAATGTGTTTGTAAAGCTCATGTTCGACTGCCACCAACCAAATCCGAATGCAGAGTTACCTTTAATAAAAGTCATTTTCATGTTTCATCTGCTCAATGATCAGGAGTCTGGTGGACCTTATGTGATTTAAAGCTCCTGTGAGGAACTCTTAGTTTGTGTTGACAGTATAAAATATAGTGCCTGTTCAACACACAATCTTATACTAATGAATTTTGACTGTCATGTGTTGTAATTACTTAATGTGGAAATTATGAAAACAGGCCTGTTCTTAAGGTGCTTGGCTGACACCTCCCCCCTAACAGTGGTTACAGTCATAAGAAACAATATAAAAATTCTCAATATTGCTCCTTGTGGTCTTATTTGGTTTTGAACACAATAAATTGGCATCAATATGAATTTAAGTCAATTTCATAGAGGTAAAAAAAAAAACCTGATATGAGCTTTAAAATTATGTCCTCTGTGCAAAAGTCCAAGCACCTGGCTGTAGTGCTTTGCTTTTTGGTGATTTGGTGTCTGATATTCTCTGATTTTCTATTCATTTTTTGGCATTTTTCTTAAGTGATTTACTTCACATTTGGTGTTCACATTAAGGGAGACATAGTAGTGAAAAGAAGGATATTTAAGGTGCTGACAATTTAATTGAAACAATGAATATAAAGAGTGAAAATACGAGGAACTCCAGAGTTTAAGAGCATTTTGCTGGAAATGTGACCATAAGTGACCAAAAAAAATAGATAAAATATGGACAAAAATGTTTCAACCTGCAGCAGAGTCAAATAAAGTAATCTAATTTTTAGTATTTTATAAAGAAGACAACACAACAAATTTAAAAGACAACATTCCTTTTAATAGTTAAATAAGGTCCATTCAATCAGAAAAAAAAAAAAAACTCACATTCTCAATCCAAAACGTTCAATAAACTATACTCAGCTTCACTCGTGGTTTAATCTGCTTGAAGTTGCAGCTCAGGCAGTGAGCTTTTTCAACCTAAAGGACAGAAGGGAAGAAAGGAAGAGAAGCAGAAAGGAGATATAAAGGAGGGAAAGAGCTTCTAAGGAGAGGAATATGAGATAAGGAAAACAAGAAAATAAAAAGAGTGTAGGAGAGAGTCTGAGTCAAGTAGGGAGAGAAAAGGGCAGAGAAAGGAGACAGAGAGAATCCGATTTAATCTGCTGACTCACACAACACCTGAACATGGCCGAGTCAGCGAGTGGGAACAGCTTTTTCTACTTTGCCCCCATGGAGAACCTTCACAGCTTAAGAGACAAACCTGCCTACTTAGAGAGAACACAAAATCCCTGATCAAAACTTCTGATTGTAAATAAATATTTGGGCTTCCTTAGCGTTTTTCTCTGAACCTAAAATAACACAGTTTCAAACTCAGATTTTGTTACAAATGCAACTAGTGCAGAGACTGTTTCACCTGGATTCACAACAACAACAGATGTGAGCTTTGTAGTTGGAGGCCATGAGTAAAGATATATACAGCTGTTTATTTATTATGGTCATGAACAGTCCGAGTGTTTGTTGCTTAATGAGGCAGAGGAGGAGGAGGAGAGGAAGGCCATCAGGGGGCAGGTGTGGGCGGTTTAAAGAGACCAGTCTTTCTGAAGTAGCGCACAATTAGAGGCACAGACACCAGAGTGATGCTGATGCGAACTGGAGCGAAGAGCTTGTGGATGGCGTAAGCCAAGACAAATGTGCTCGTCCCTGCTGCCATCTTGGACTGAACGACCGCCTCACTGAAGCCCACTTTGCACAGAAGGGCTGCCATGTCGATTCCACTGAGAAGACAGGAAAAAACCCAGTTAATACTCAAATGTTTGGAAACCAGTTTTTCCTGTTACTATTTTCAATGAGCTCACAAACAACAGCCCACAAAAACAGTCAGAGTTTCTTCTTCAACATGTTTGTATTGTGTTAAATCAGCATGTAGTATCAGCGGTTAAACTATCCCTGAATATGTGGAACAGGTGGAATTAAAGTTAAGAGTTATAAAAGATTTTGTCAGAAACCAAAATAGTCACCAAAACTACTCAAAACGAAACTAAAAGAGAAATTATGGTGCATGAATTTGAAACCATGCCCAGATAATTTAGGCGTGGTTGGTTCCAACATAATATTTCAGTGAGAGATTTTAAAGTTCTTAAAAAATACTATTACATCAAAATCTTGTAAGAGATGCAAGTGTGGCTCTGCTGGGCCAAATATTAGCATTTACAAATATCTACAACAAGTACAATAAAATGTTTTAGATTAAAATGGTCTAAACCTGAACCCAACACCTATCAGAAGAGGATAAAATGTGCATGAACCTTAGACTCTAGAAAGAAACATTTGTTTAAGATGGGACCCTGCCATCTTTTATAATCAATATTTCCATATTTTCAAACAGATATATATATATATATATATATATATATATATTTTTTTTTTTTTTTACATATATGGCCCATGCAAATATGCTCATATATACCGGTCTCTTTTTTTAAAGCTTTTCCCTTTTGTTTCTATCTGGATTTATGTTCATACTTTCTTTTGATTGCTTCATTTTTTTTCTAGGTTTAATATTTGTCTGTTGTTATGCCAACTTTTAAATTGATTTTCTCATGTATCTGAAAATCATATACAGCTCTGGGAGAGGAAATAGGATATAACTAAAACAATTGTAAATTTGTTTCTAAAAGCTGATAAAACAAAAAAAAATCCAAGTTAAACAAAGAGTGATTTAAATTCTAAAGTCAGAAAGTATGAAAACAAAAATAAAACCAATGTTTGAATAATTTAAAAATGTAATGATACAACAGATTGTCATTTCATTTGAACAGTCCACAAATGCATTCACGATACAGAAAAAAGAAATATCGTAATTGTGTAAGAGTCTCTTTTGTGATAAGAGCAAAAATGGTAATATGGAGAACAACAAAAATAGAAAAATAACTTTCATTTTACAGGGATAGATTTGGACCAGCGACACACTATTCACTTCAAGAAACATTTGAACATAAAACAGACTCAAAGCAAACAATTTATGAAGAAATCAGAGAAATTTAGAGAATAACCCTAGACATAAAAAAAGAAGAACTTGATGCAGAGACCTGAATGTTATTTTCGCTTTTGTATCATTGAAGATTTTGTTTCATCAACCAGACCTCTTCCCTGTTGGTGTTCAGGTCTCTTTGTGTCCACTAGAGGGAGCCGTGTCCAATACCAGCCGTTGTGTAATAGTTTATTTTGCACCCTTTCGACCTATTTACTCTGATTGGCATGATAAAAAAAGCACTGCTCCACTAACATCACACATATCAGAGGTTTTACCACAGCTGCGTGTGTCACTGCCTTTGTGTGACCGTGTCGTGGAGTCATGCTGCTTTTATCCGAGCTATTCAGGGAAATAAATATGCAAAGAATGTGCTTACACAAAGCTCAGAGCTGCGTGCATCACTATGGCACGTTTCTCTCTCTTTCTCTCTCTCACACACACACACACATTCACAGCTCTGTTAGCAAACTTTAGTCAGCTAAATATAAAGATCCATCTGCAGCCTGACAACTGTTTACACAGCACACAGCTCTGTATTAGCGGGCCACATGCCTCTGTGGACTCAGAGTGATAATGCCTGGTAGTTTCTCGCTACAGACTCACTTTTAACTTGGAGGGCCATTACCGGCTGTATGAGGAAATCACCAAGCTGTCACATAATCCCTGCCAAATCTCTCCGGTATTTGAGCTCCTGGATCGGAGCCAAGTAAGGGCACAAAATGGGTCTTGACTGACGTTCCAGCAAACACTAAAACACGCTCTAGCTGACTTGTTGTTTCACTTAAATGTGTCATCAGTGGAGAGTCGCAATAACATGTAAGAAACTGCAGTGTCAAAGGCTTTAAATTTTGCATGGGTAGCTGTGAAATTACAACACTAGTATCAACAAACTTATGAGGAAATGACCTCATGTTTTATTCACAGAAGTGTCAGATTCAGCCAGGATTATTCTCAGCAGCAGGGTTGGTTTAATGTCTGACACTGAGGGGAAATTTCCAAGAGTCAATGTTTTGTGTTCTCTTTTATATCAGGCTACATTTGTTGATGATCTTCATTATACTACAACAGGTCAGTCATTTCCTGCCTGTACACGCAGTCAGGCGACTCCCAGACTGCTTCACACACCCAAGGTTTAATATATAATGTATTACGTTTGTTTTCCTCTCACACTTGCATTTTCTTTTCTGTCCTTTACATCCCTTAACCCAGCTACAACTGCATTTCATTCACTACTCAAAGACCGCATGGCTCCATATGCTTATAAAAGTATCTCAATCACCTGCTAAGATTCAGGTTCTCAGGGGATAAGAGCCTGTGTCCTTTAATCACATTTTACTGAGCTGATTATTATTATTATGTTTAGTATTTTTAGTGCTCAGCCTCCTTGTTTTTGGTCTCAACCAATCAAAATCAAGTGGTCGTGGGACCTCTGATATCAATGGTAAAGGTCTGTATAGAGTAAGTTTTTTATCATTAATGAAAACTAAAATATCAAAAACATTTTTATCAAGTACAATAAAATAAAAATGAGGCTTTACAAAAGCACAACGGCTCACTAAAACTAAAACTGTCTTGTATGTTTACAAAACTGACTAGAATCAAATAAATCATGCAGAAAACTGCCTCCGTTTTTTGTCAACGATTTCCAAGCTCAGCGCTGCTGCCAACTATCAGCATTTTTAACAAATACTACATTTAAAGCAAACTATCTGCATTAGAACAGTCGATTAAAATACAAAAAAGGAAAAGAAAAGGGGAAAATAGAAGGTTCATTTTGTCCTTATTCGTTGCTGAAATGCAGCTTTTTAGTTGCATGCCTATTCAATCATCTATTCAATCTCTTCTCTTGGTTTCTACAATAAAGGAAATGAAAACACTTAAAGCTCCTGTGAGGAACTTCGGTTTGTGTTCATTTTAGCGCCCCCTTTGGACAAAATAGTCTTTGCTCATCTTGTCCTCTCTATGCCTAAGAAGTGTCTTACTGACAATAAATCTCATCCTGCTGGCTTTAAAAATGACAGTATATAAATCTGGTCACTGATGGTCTTGTTTGCTTTTTGGTATTATGAAAAAGCATAAACATGAGTTTAAGTTCAGTTAAAGTGTTACCTTGATATTAGGAGGTAAAACATTCCCAGGGACATGAGGGAGATCCCGATATGAAAGCTAACTCCTACTGCTCCATACTCCTTAAAGACCTTCTTCAGCTGCTGGGCTTTGGTGGGTTTTCCCCCCTCTGGCTCTGGCTCAGGCTCTTCTTGGGCCTTCGCAGCAGATGAGGAGGTGGTGGAGGTGTCTTTTAAGTTCTGCTCCACCTGGCCAAAATATAAAGGAGAAAAGAGACAAAAATAAGAGAGTGTGAGCAGAGCAAAATGAGAAGAGGATATGAGTTAAAAGTCAGTCCCTGAGGAATGTGTAGAAAACAATCTAGACAAAAGCAAAGACAAGTCATGAATGGTAAAGAGGAAGTTGATTAAAATAGCAGGGATTGTTTCCACCTTTCATGAAATGTGAGATATTTTTGACATTAGTATTCAGAGAGCTCCTTCAGACTAGGAAACAAAGAAGCTCCAAGACGGAGGCTTCATTTCTGGTTCAGCTGATATCAAAGCTTACAAGAAAAGGTAACTCTTGTCCTTAAAACGCTCTTCAGAGGAGTTGAAAGTGTCTGCATACTGAATACCATATAGAATACTGACAAAAGCAAGGCGAGGTAAATTGTAGGTCAGATTTAGAAATGCATGAGTCATCAAAACAAGAGGAAAGACTATGTTGTGATTGTGTGTCATTCAGTTTATGATTACGACAGAACAAAGCCTGAATAGTAACAAGCCTCTTTTTCTGTTCATTGTCTCGTCAAATCAGCTGATTGAACAGGCCTGACTGCTGCTGCTGTGTACTTTAGGTAATTCACTTTATCATTTGCCCTTTCACTCCTAAACAAAGTCCACCACTCTATCTTACAAATGCACTCACAAAAGGACCTCTCATAAGTGCACAAACACACACTTTACTCTGCGCTCGTGACCTCCAGACACACCACTCTCTAAGATGAACAAGCAGCAGACTTAATCCAGCCGTCTGACACGCAGCAGGGAAGAGCGGGTCACTCCAGTGCATGCTGACAGTAACACAGATTAGTGAACTGCTACAGCGTTAACAACAATGAGATCACTACAGCAGCGGACAGGCTGCAAAAGAGCGAGGGTGGTGTAAGATTCACAGAGCGGTGAGGGAAGTAGGTATCTAAAATAAACAGAGAAAGCCTGCAGTTTGTTAACAGTGGAGCGTGTAAATAAACATAATCCTCCTCTGAGTGAAGCCTCAGGGGCTGCCTTCATAAATACACTCATGTTTAATGCAGCCAAGGCACTCCAGTACAAAATAGAGATTAAAGTATAATGAGTACTGATACCTAAACAACTCAGAAAAGTATTTAACCCCGCATGGACGTGTTCTGTGTTTGGTTTGTTAGGGTATGGTACTAGATATGGGCTATGCTAATTCAGCCTGTATCCTCATGTTGTATCTAAATTCATAGTTTTTCTTTCAATATACAGAGTGCAATACTGATCAAAATACTATCGTGCATGATAAGCATTGTGGAAAACAGAAATGCACTTCCCTTTTTTATGAGCTTCACCTGTTTTTGCAAGAATAGCTGCTGAACCATAAACAAAAAAAAGCTTAATTTCAGACTGATGTTACCTAAATGATAGGGTTAGAAATTTGAAACCAAAGGTTTAGAGGAAGACAACGCCACAAATGAACAATGATTTAAGAACTGATGTAAAAGGTTCAAATTTAGACCATACCAAAACAGCTTTTTGGCACAAAAGATTCAAAAATAATCTTTTTAATCTGGAAATATTGAATAAAAGTTTAATGTAACGATATAAAGATATCTGATCAAACATTCAGAGACAAAATTCAGCTTTTTTTTACACTTGTACAACTCCGCACAAATCTCTTAGTCCTAGCTGTTTTGGAATTTGTATGTAATTACATGATATCTTAATGAGAGATGTTGTGTTAATCTTTAGTTTTAAAACAAAAAAATGAAAATATGTTCAGTTTCAGAAGGTGTGACACAAAGAAGGTTCTGGTCAAAAGAGAACAGCATGAGTAAATTCAACAGGCTTCTTCAAGTCCTGGCGAATAGGTGCTGACAAGCAGTGTGATCCATAATCCACAGGATGTAGAGAAGCCAGGATTTGATTGAACAGAATCATCACACACAGAAGTCATGTCACTGGTATCATCATCTTATTAGCATCAGTAACATCCTCAAAATCAATGCAGGTCTCATCAACATCAGTTTTAAGTCGTCCATAAAAGAGCTGGGTCTAAAACTGCAAAGGTTAACATAGACTCTGCAGATCCGTTCGAGTACAGAAACTTATCCCACCAGAGAGAAACTCAAGAAGAGAAGAGTCATCAGGCTTGTAACTAAGGACCCTGTTGTGAAGGGAGCACAGCAGGCAGTGAGAGTCAAGGTCTGGATAAAGGAGTTCAGGTAAACAGGAACTGTTTCAGACTGTGTTTTGTGGGGCATCAGCATGATTTTGAATTTGATGCTCCAGTGGAAACAAATGACCAGTGAAGTGGCGTGCTGCTTAGTGTTGGCTGAAGACCAGTCCTGCTGCATTCTGCATCATCTGCAACCCTAACCATAACACTCTGCAGAGATTTGAATGCAGAGCGGCCTGCCAATGTCGAATTAAAGGACAATTTCAACTTTATTGCCTATTTCAACAATTTCTGCTTCTGATGATGGCGCCTCTTTACGTTCAAATTAAAGCAGTAGAAAGAGCAGCAGACTGGAGAGGGCATAATGCCGAGTGGTTCCAACTAGAGCCAAGTTATTAAAACAAATTTCCTGCCAGAATAAAGTACAGTGCCTCCAAGAAAAAAAAGACACAGGGAATAGCTCAGGCGTGCAAAAATGATTTATTTTAGGACAGAATTGAGGTTGTTGAATAAATTAGTAAGCACAAAGAAGACTGCTAGTGATTTAACAGGTAGCTCCTGAAGTCAGAAATCAAGGTGACTGAACTTTAAAACATTAACCTTGGCAGTGTTTACTTTAAAAGATCAGGATCTGTGCTTTACCTGAAACCAGGACTGTGAAACACAGATGAGTCCTGCTGTCTATTTTAGCACAACATTTTCGCCTTAACACAGCAGGTTTCACTCATATCCTCTGAGGATTGTTTTTGTTGCACTGATGTGAAGCTTGCTGCAAACAGCATTTCTTTGTAAGGCTGAGACTGACAACCAATCAAGGATGTAGAAACAAAGAAGAAGCAGAAGGAGGGACCAGAAGAAAACAAGCTGCTTTTGTCCTTTTTAGACAATTTGTCTTGCTAAATTTGGCCCAGACCCCCGGGATGAAGCCACAGCCTCGGTGACGTATTCACTGGCCAAGCCAACAATGAACAATAGACAGGCCAGAGTGGGCGAAAGAGCAGGCCTTTGCTTTTCAGGGGCGACTTAGGCCGAGCTTAAAGTAAAAGCAAGCAGCAGTGTGGGAGGGTCATGTGAGAGAGCGGCCAGGAGGAGTTGTGCCATGGAGGTTGTTATGGGAGGGGAACAGTGAGGCTGCTGTGTCTGATAACAGCTTTTCATGAACGGAAAACACATGCAGTTCTGCAGAGTCACAGTGGCATGCAAACTTGGACAAAGACACACTCACATGCACACACGCATACACAGGCATGCACGAGCATGCACACACAGACCGCCCAGCAGCCAGAGGCAGAGGGAGAAACTAGAAACTTGCAGCAAAGTGTCTGAATTTTCAGAGATAAAGGATGAAAACTAAACAAAAACTCTACAGTATAATCCTAACATTTAATTTCTTCATTCTTTTTTGAAATATCTAAGAGATCCTACTTGAGTTTGGACACTTGATATAACAGTCAATTTGAGCTTGACAGCTGTAATTGGCATGCTAACAGGGGCAACCAAGATTCAACATTGTGAGCATTAAACACATTAGCATTTTAACTTCATTACCGAGACCATGTTTGCACTGGAGTAAAAACAATTAAGTACTTGTTTCCCAACTTTTAGCTCATTATCAGATTGGCGGGAGCAAATTATCAACTGTTTGTATAATTAAAACTTATTTTATTGAAGATTATCTCTGCTGCACGTCAGTATATCAGCATTGTCAGTGTTAGTGCACTGGAGCTACAACAAATCAACTGCTTGGTGTCAAACTATTAGCTTGATCACATGCTATGTTTTATGAATCTGATAGTCCTTATTATGAGAAACCAAAACTGCCTCTCTTATGTCACTATTTCATGGTTTGAGTTAACTTAAAAAGCTTCATTTATGTGTTTTTTGAGCAAAGTACTGTTTGTATCAATTTCTGTTTTTGTTTTTGGGTTGACTTTGATGGTTCTGAATCTCCTGTCACATCCATTTTACATCATTTTTGCACCCATAAACTGACAGCTGAGGTTATCCTGGTAAAAAGAAAGATGTGTATATATTTGCTGCGTTTGAAAGGTTAGAGTTGCTACATAGATATTTCCAAAAAATAGAAAATAAACGGGCGGACCAAAAATAGCAAAATATAGCTGGGAGTTCTAAATGTCCTTACACACCAGGGCCAACACGAATATAGAACGTGAAATTACGAAATATTCGGAGGCAAATTTTGACGCACCTGACTATACACATCAAGCCCGATGCGATTTTGTGACTTTCCAGGGGGGGAAAGACGCATCCCAGTGAAGACTTTTCCCAGGGGAAAGTCCCGCCTCCTTTGCCTCTGATTGGCTAGAAAAGCTGGAAACGTCATCACACGCTCAAGCCAAATGGTCAACACTCATAGCCAATTAGAGGCGATAAGATACGCACATAAAACTATGTTAACAACCGTTAGCTTACGTTAGCACAGATGACAGTTGAAACAAAGACGTTTAGCAAACTGGTAAAGCACACAAACCATCGTCATATGAGAGATTCGACGCTATAACCCTCCACAAGTTGTCCTTCAGGTCGTTATCTTTGTAATGTTTGTCTTTTATCAAAAAGCACTCTGTTCTTTGACGTGTAAACAATCAGCCAGTCGGCCATGTTGGATATACCTGTGAATCTGACGTTGCAACAACGTGCAATCTGATTGGTCAGAAGTGGACGCACAGTATGCAAACTAAAAAAATTCGCAGGACGGGAAAAACGTCGCTGATGTGAACGCTTGTATTGACAGGATACGGGTTCGGAAAAAAAAAATGCATGACAAAAACGGTCCCAGTGTGAAAGGACCTTTAGGGTTAAAGCCTCATAGTGCCCAAGTCGAGTTTAATGGCTAAGCCTAATTTAGGACTCAGGGTTTGGGTTCAACAACAGACCAAATATTAAATGTAGAGGAAGTATCATGAGGTAAGAAGCAAATGTAGGGCACACGTTTGGAGGTGTTGTGTAACCTTTTAAGATCTAATCTTGTAAGTGTATTTTCGCACACCCACATCTTTATATGCTGTTGTGTTTACTCACTACTTAAGCTGCTCAATTAATTCAGTCCCATTGAGATTAACTGAATTCAGGCTAAGTGAATCACGTTTATTCTGTCTTTTAACACTCATAAGTTTGAACAGAAAGGTGTGTGACAGTTTGACAGTGACTCAGCATGTGCTCTGTCAGTTCTGCTGACTCACGATCAGTTTGTCATTATGTATTAATGCATTAACTACTGTGACTTTCCCTCACGTGAAAAAGCCCTGTACACTTGTGTGTGATTACGTGGTGTTGTATAACCGGCCTGTCTGCTAACATGACGAGGCTCGGGCCTCTTTTAGCAGATTTCATGATCATTTTAACTTTGTATCCTGGAGCTTCAGGGACACGGAGATCAGAACGGGATGTCCTCCTGCCCGCGGAGCCCTGTGTAAACCCGGGTAACTCGTCACTGAGGTTACACAAACACTTGTAGGTTGCCGGGTAAATTACCTCTTTGTTGTTGTCAGCCGTCTGCTCCTCGCCGGCTTCGCTTTTCTTCTTCGCGGCCGCAGCGGTGGACGCCGATCTGGTCTGCATGGTTCCGACAGAAACCCCCGAGTTCCCTGTAAACAGAGCATTACCCGCCGGTCCTCCTTTGCTGACGGAGCGCTTGTTCGGCTGCCTGATAAGATCTGGAAAACCGCCTCTCGTTTGCACGCTTCTAGAGAGGCTTACAGCTACAGCAGATACCCGGTCCAAGTGTGCCCAGTCCGAGATTACAAAACCAGACTGAGTGTCCCAGTTATGTGCTGGTTGTTGTTTTTGTTTTTGTGGGTCTGGTTGGTGTTTCCAGAAACGCACAGGAGTTGAACAGACACCCCGCACTGGTGCGCACAAACCCCGGTGAACCGTGTAGCCTTTGCGTAATGTCACAGTGTCGTCCCTCAGTGTGGTTGTTAGAGACGATCTCACGGACTTTAAAGCCTGGTCCACAGCCGCTGCAGACAACCTCCCTGTGCGGCAGAAATACATCGTTGTCAGCCGCCTAAAAAGAGTCAGCTCCTCCGTAAAAACCCTCCGTTAAGGCTGGTAAGTCGTTGACAGCAGCTAATTGTGTTTGCAGGCTGTAAACATGCTGCCCCGTGCTCTCCTGCCTCCCTCTCCTCCGTTTGTTGACCGATTATCACCGACAGCCAATGAGGGCTGACGCGCAACCGCAGATAGTAAAAGTCTGAAGAGAGAGGGAGGGGGGATTTAAAGGTGTAACCATGCCAAAGGAATCAATTAAACTAGGTTAAGATGACTAACTTAAGTATAACCAAGCCGAGACAGAAAATGACAATAAGGTCTTAACTGAGTAACACACAATCCCAACAAAGATGAGTTCATGACATGTCACAGAGAGCAGAAAACTGCTGCTTCTTCAGCTGCTTATAGAGAAAAAACACCAATCAAGGGGCTCAGAGTAATAAAGAAGCAAAGACAAAACTTCCTTCTGACAAGCAGAAACCTCAAACAGGACAAGGATCATTAATTGACTGTAGCTACCTGATCTGTTCCGTAAACCCGGTTTGTACTGCACAGGTGCGAAATGTATGTCACTTCCTCTCTTGGCATTTCAGTGTATTTTGCGACAGTGAGTCGCTAGCATAGACTATATATAGAATGGACAAACTGTGGACAAACTTTAGAAATTTATTACACAGAACATACATTTTTCTCCCCCCTGCTTGTGATGTTGACATGTAGTTCTTGTAAGACTGGTTTGTGCTCAAGTCCTCTTTTTTCTGTGAAGCTTTGTTTTTAAAAGTTATTAGGGGGTTCATGTTTGCTATGATTGACACCTGATACAGCCTATGGGCGTTCAGGGATTGCGTAGCTCACCCGGGGGGATACGCTGTTTGAGCCGAGCGTCATCACAGCGACTCTCGGCGACTGCGCGGCCGAATGCACGCATTGCTACTGCGCAGCACTGGTTTCAGGAAATGAAGAAAAATCCCGAAAATATCGAGAGCTATTTGGCTTCAAATCCGTATACATACGGGAGGCGGAACCATGTTGTCCATAGTATATACAGTCCATGGTCGCTACCTACCTGATCCGTACAGCGCAAGTGCAAATTTACTTCATTTTAAAAACTTTATTTAAACTACCCACTAAGCATTTTTTTGGTCTAAAAGAGGTCAAACAGACGTCCAAATGTAGCCTAGTCTAAAATCAGGCTAGCACAGGTCTAAAAATGAAAGTCTTTTTAGATGTCCAGATTTAGACCAAGTTTAGACTAAATCTAAATCCGGGCTATATCGTTACTACTATTGCTCAATGGCTATAATAATTATTTTGGGTTAAGTAGTTGGAAATCAGTTATGCAACTCACAGTTGCTTTTTGAAATAAATAGTTATCGAATAATGTGTTAAAGTGCAACGTCTAAATTCCATCTAAAAATATACAGAATCTAGACGGTTCTTTCATTGAGTGTTGGTTTTGGTGCCCACTGTAGGAAGATCTATATATCTTATAGCTTTCCTGTTCTTGTTCTGTACAGGATAAAAAATAACTACTTTCTGACTCAGAAAAAAATGCTGTCATGTTTTATTTTTACCGCCAAATGTATTACTCATTGTGAATAAAAGTGGTAGGAGGTGTAAAAATGCTGTCCAAGGCGTTGTAAATTACATTATAGAAAATGTGTGTCATGTTGGAAATGGTCTAGTTTGCTTTTGTAGGTCATAAAAAGGTGTTCAGGATCAGGTTTGATCTGTTTTACAACCATTTAAAAAAGAGCTTTAAAGCAGGCAGGAGAATTATACTCAAGCATGCCAAAATTTAACTGTAGAGACCTTCTGATGAGGAAAGAGGTCGAAGTTGTAAAAAATGAAAAGTTGAAAACAACTAGAAAGAAGTAAATATTGTAACATGATATCAGCACATTACACATAATACAATTTTTGCAACAAGTGTTACAGATTTCCATCGTTGGCTCATATTTCGTTAGAAGTTATTGTGTGTTAAAGGGAGATAAGCTTCAACCGACGGAAAGAAAGATATCTAGAGGTTTGAACTGGTCACACGAGGTTTCATAACCCGCCACAACTCCCGTGACAACACATTATTCTGTTTTCAAGTTTCATACTCTGAACTTTTGGTTAATTTAAAGTTCCTCTGTTAAAGGAGAATCAAAACTATTACTCAGAAGAAGTGCCACCACACGCAAGAAATCTCAGAAGTTGAAGCACAGGTCTGAAGAAGTGAATTGTTCCTAAAATGTACTGGAGCAAAAGTCAAAAAGCACTTTAGTATTCGTATTATAGCCTTAAATACCTGGAGAGCATTTTAATATTTAAGCTTCAGTTTAAGTAACCTTAAATGACACTGAATCGTTATTTTATCAGAAAATGGAGAGAACCAAGAACTGTACTCTGGTTTCTCTTTACACCACTGTCTTCATGTTTCTGTTGTATTTGCATGAGTACATTTACTGGGCAAAACCAGATGGACGAGTTGACATAAGACTGGCCTGAAGAGGAAGTGGTGGGAAAGCAAATGATCAGAAACTATATAGAGTATAGCGTTATTACTTAATACACACCATCCCTATATGTGGGTAAAAATGCTGAATTGTGTCTGTGGTGGTTGTGGCATCATGTGATCTGTTTTCAGATCAACCTTAGCACGACTCTCTTCTGACATTTGGAATTTTTCTTTACAGTTAAAAAAATGCAAAAACAAAGTAGGGGAAACAGTCAGAGAGAGCAGTGAGAGTGAGTAGGAGGTGAGATAAAGACGAGGGAGGATGTTTGGCAAGAAGCCACGGAAAATGGCGCAGTCAGTGCATCAGCAGGGCCTCTGACCTTTACTCTGCAAAGATCAACATGTAGGCTGATTTTAAATAGCTGCTTATTCAGTTCAGTCGCAACTGTATCATTAAATAAACAGTTCACAGTTCTTTTTTTTAAAGATTAAAAAACCTATACATCAGGGTATACTAAAAATGTCCCTCAGAGAGAATTCCTGTAAAAAGTACGGGTCCCATTTTCACGAAGGTGGTTTTAAGAGTGAAGCATCAGGAAAACTACAACCCAGTAATTTAAAAGCTCATTAATGTTCAATTTCTGAGCAAGAAAAGAAGCAATACTGATGAGTCAAAACCAGGAACAAGGTCTAAACATGAGTCTTAGATCTTCAGGTGACCTTCATTGAATTTTCTTTCAGGGATCAATAAATTTCCTCTTCTCCTCTTTTGTTTTGTTGTCGGATAGCTGAGTACATGTATATGTTTTTAGTAAAGAATATATAAAGTGATTTTGAGGCCAGAAAACAGACCGGTGTCTCGATTAAACACAGCAAAATGGATTCAAAGTTGAAAAGTGTTTGAATGTCAGAACTGTTATGAAAAAATTATAATTTTAACAGAAACTCACAGATTTAATTCCACATGTACTGTGATTTAAAAATATTTTATATAGATGCTAAAATTCTCTTGAACTTACACTAATGCAGCAGTATGGTTCTTGAGGATTTATAAAATAATTTCTCTGTGTTACTTCTGTCACAGAGCATCATTTCCATTTTTAAATCTGTTCGTCTTGTTCGTATGAAAGTTTATTTTGCTGCTCTCTTTGCCAGGATGATCAGGTAAAGGAGATTTCTCACCTCAAAGTTGAATGAATAAATTAAGCTTCCCTGCAGATGTTCTCTGAATAAAACACTCTATAAAAGGGTTAAAATATTCACATCTGTTGACATTAATTCACTTCCAGGCGTCACAAGTAGGCCATGTGACCACAGCTTACATTTTTCAGCTAAATTTAGCGGCACGCTGCATTTGAGGTTACTCTCAGAGGTTGAGTGGTTCTTGAAGCTCTAAAATATGTCTATTGTGTTTAACTGCCATAGTAACAAGCACTCAAAGCACCACTTTAGATGATGAAACACTGAAATGGGCAAATCGAGTTGCAGCAGGCACAGGCATGTAAAACACTGTCATACATCATAAAATAAAATAAATGGAATAAAATACATTTACATAAAAACCAGTTCAGGAGGTAAAGAGCATTAAAGACGATTTAGAAGGTAAAAAAAATGCATAAAATGCAGAAACAAAGTGTAATGTGCGGTTTGCGTACCAATGAAAGAACCCCTAGATGAAGAAGATTTTTAGATTTTACCTTTCAGAAGGATGTTTCTGATTTCATCATGATATTATCAAGCTTAATGTCAAATCACACAGGTCTCTGCATTGTTTCCTTTTCAGCGGTGTCCAGACTATAATCTGAAACTGTGGGAGTTTATTTTTACCCGAGTACAACACAGTGTCACTTTTATCCTATAAGCCAACTCTCGTTTACCTCATCAGTCATTTCTTTGTTTAGGTCAGAGTCACCTTGTTTACTCTGTGAGTGAATTAGGAGACTATAGAGAGCAGGGCAAACATGGCTGCTTCCCACACTCCTGCTGAGCGATTGAACCTACTGTTTGAAGGTTTATTTTCTGTTTTGCTGGAAAAAAAAAAGTTGACTTGTTCCCTGGCCAGTGTTTGTGGTGGTCCTGTTAATTCAAAGGCTCATGTCAGTGGGAGCTGAATCACCTGTATGTTTATTTATATGTAAACACGTCTGCAAAGAGGTGAAAAAACAAAACATTTATCAGTGTCATATGTATTTATCTCACAGAAGAAAAACAGTTTCCCCTCCGTCATGCTGCTGAGCCCGAACAGTCGTGTAGCTCAGATATTTAATATTGTGACATTGATTTCAGATACAGCCCTCAGCATTAGTGTAAAGTGTCGATATATGTGTTGAGCTGAGAAGGTTTCTCATGTCTGGGTATCAGACAGTTACTCGTCTGAGTTTAAATCTTCCGGTCGATGGATTTGGTCAGCGGTGGGACAGACAGATATCGACTCACTCCTCATGGACGTCTTGAATCTAGGTCAAAGAGGACACTGAATCTCTGTTAAGTCCACCTGATCCTGGGAAATAGAGAAGTTCTGACCCACTGAGCCATCCCCCCATCTGTCCGCTCTTTTGTGCAGTGTTTTTATCTCCCTTCAAAAAGCTGGCGGGTTGCTCAATAGAAGCAGCGTCCTCATAGCAAAGGCCTGCTTTCAGGCCACTCCTCATTTGCATGCTGTCTCTATTTTACCCCCTTCTTCAGTGTCCGAAAAACTCCTGGCACTGCCTCGGCTTTCCTTCTTTATCCTCC